CACACACACACACACACACACACACACACACACACACACGTGCGCGCGCGCGCGCGAGCGCACGCGCACGCTCACGCTCACCTTCGCACAGTAGGCCAACGGACCCCAACGCATGGATCCCCGACGTGGCGAACTCAAAGGAGGTGAAGTCGAATGCCAACTCCAACCAGCAACCGTGACGAGACTGACTGCTGCACCATTTTTCTGTGGCAGCATTTCAAAAACCGACCACTTCGAATTTGAATTCCTGCCGCCACTGCTGCAAGGGCGTCACGGAAAGATGCATGCGCCTCGTGAGGGCATTTCGAGGATGGACCGACAAAACGCCATGAGCAGTCCAGTAAGGGCATAGTGGAAAGTTATGCCCCATGCTGACAGGGGCCTGTGGAAAACTTCAGAGGCCCCAGGGGCACGACAGGGTAAGTCGGCCGTCAGAGGGGCATGCTGCAAATTAATCAAAACTTCAGGGGCATTTCGAAAAATTTCCCAAAAAAAACGAAAAACAAAAAGGGGATTTGGTTGCATGGTCAGGTCAGGTGACTGACGCCCACTGTTGCGGGTCAGGGCTGTATGTAAAGTTTTTTAAACCACCACTACCGAGGCCTGATACACTACCAGTTTCTGGATGTCGGAGAGGGAAAAATGTGGGCCTAGTGTGGTTGGCACTTTGAGAAAAAAGAGGTCCTCCCTGGTAGTGGGGGGCGGTTTCAGATGGTACTGACTACCTTTCGTCTTCCGAATACTTCTGGTCGTTATAGCTGTATTTGGGGACCCTTATTCACCCGAATATAACGTACGGTCATTATAGCTGTATTTGGGGTATCTTTCACCCGGATGCGACGTATTTAGGGTCATTATAGCTGTATTTGGGGTACCTTCTAGAAGTTTCCATCTAAATACAGCAATAATGAGTGGTGCCTGCTCTTACCAGCACCCCTAGCATCTGCTCCAGTTAAAAAAAAAAAAAAATTAAGGAAAGTGTTTGGACTCTGGAGATTCGCTCTCTGACAGTTTTGGTGGTTAGATTGTACTTCTTTTTTTTTTCTTCGTTTTTTAAACCACCGCTACCTTTCTCATATGTGGGGCCGCGGGACTCAAATTCAAATTCAGCCGCCACGCGCCATCGATGAAAAATATCGACGGCGGCGTGGCGGCTATTTTTCAGGAGTAGGCTACTAGATGCCCGTGGCGTACATATGGGAAAGGTAGCGGTGGTAAAAATACCACCCGGGAAAACAGATATGAGTGATGATAGAAGCATGCACTGCTACCTGTCTTGCAGGGGCCAGTTCGGGCCTCGCCACCCCACTCTCGAAATGTCAAAAGGACAAAAATGTGGCGGGTGCATCTGGCCATGTTCTAGGAGGAAGCTCATTGTCATTTTGCACATTTTTCGAAAGCGGTGTGGTGATGCCGTTAGATTGTACATTTTTGTTTCTGTTAGGAATGTGGACCCACACATGCAGTTAAACCACGCCTCACATCGGCCGCGAGGCCTTGTCCGAAATTGGGCTCGCGGCCGATGTGAGGCTGAAAAGCGACGCCGGCCGCCAATTTCTTTTATCGACAGCATGCATGCCGGCGCCGACTTTTTCGGATAGGCGAAGAGTTTCTTTTCAGGAAGGCTGGAGCCGTGTGCTGGTGGTTTAAATTTGGATCGATAGATTTGATACAGGGAAGATTAGCGTGGGCCCCTGTGCAAGGATGACACACGTAAATTGAAAAATGGTCCAAAATTCTCTCCAAATTTGAATTTTCCTATCTTTTTATTTTTTACTTTTTAAATGGAGCCACATATCAATGCAAGTGAAAAGGTTGTCTGGGGCCCACATGCAGCTGATCTCATGATCACGTGTCGACGTACAGCATACTTAAGATTTTCAGCTTCCCAAGGTGTATACAACGGCAATTATGACTGAATTCAGTTCAGAAAAGCCCTTGTCTGGCTATGACCTTCCTCTTGGAGGATTTGCAGCTGTTGTCAAGAGACAATTTTCTGTTTTTTTTTTGTTTTTTTTTTTTGTATTGAATTGTAAATGTTTTCTATTTATAGTGTAGTGGGGTTCTGCAGTTTACGGTTATCGTGCGATAGCATGCACATGCCAGCTGACACGGCGAGGTCGACATCTGGTAGGTCTCTGCTTGGCTATGGCAGACTGTGTGATCACAAGGCTAGAGAGAAGTGAACAATAATGATGACAGTAGACCACCAGTATTTGGCCCAGCTATCGGCCGCGGAAACAAATAGAGTAGAAGCATTTCTGGTCGGATGAATTTGGGCGCTCCTGTAATGGTCCGTATGTTTTCTAAAGTCGCGGCTTGTTTTCGGGTGTGACTTTAGGAAGTACTGGTGGCTTAAATATTGGAGGCTGTTACTTTGTGCGAGAACCCTGCTGTTATTTCCCCCCCTTTTCTCAGGGAATACTCATGTGAAACCTCCTTTTTTCTTTTGATTTTCAATCTCCAGATTTCTGTGTGTACCACCTTGCGCGACTTTGGTTCGGTCACATCCCAGTGTGATTGTTGGTATGGGGGTCGTGGCGCCACTCATCCGTCACAATGGAGACTTTGCCTTGTGTGCATGGCATGCAGCATTTGATATGTCAGTGTGTACA